CAGCGAAAAATGGACCTCATTTTCGGACTCTACGACCCCGAAAACCTAATAATTGATACCTCACTATGCACTTGGACCCGTATAGGCAAATTAGTACCCCTGAGTGGTATTTTTGGCCGCCATCTTGGATTTGGAGCCCTCCTTTGGGTCGGGGGTGTTTTTAAATGTGATATTCGGATTCCTCGTGTCATTTTACATAGGAATCGACATCTGACTCGACGCTATCCGCAAAATTTAAAACTTTCACCATGGCGGCGGCCATCTTGGACGCCATCTTGAATTCTGGGCGTCGGTTCAATTTTTGAACTTGACACCATCGAAATTCTGATTCTAGACATCCTAAAGAAGAGAATGACATATCACAACAATTTTACCCACGAAGCTGCACACGGGACCTCTTATTTGTACATGTGGTACTGGACTATTAGGCGGAGAAGCGCCGAGTTTTTATTAGGAAACTAAAGGTTTGCTTGTTTTGGAATTTATTTTTCATTTCTCACGGAGACAATTTTTCACGTTAAAATTGAACGGCTTGGAGGGCAAGGCACTTAAGTGCAGTTTTTGAAAAAATTGAGATATTAATGATTTCAAGTGAAACTAGTCCTCATGCATATTCTGTGAACAATTGGCTCCTAAATTCCAATTTTTAAACATCAAAAAGTCAGTTTGAACTTTATATGGCCATAAGGATAGTCATAAGGATCTGTGTAATTCCGGAACTTCAAACATATATTTCTCAAAATAGAAAAATTTCACTTATGCGCCTTGTCCTCCAAGCCCCTCAATTCTATTTTTATTAAAATTCAGTTTTGTGGAATTATTTCTAGCCGAAAAGTTCAAAGATACAAATTTTTTTATTTTTGTATGATTTTCTACACCTTGGTTCCCCTCTTCAAAATGAAGAAAAAATCAAATCCATTCTAAGAATGGAGCAAACTGCATAGGAAATGCGCACCGAGTTCTTCCAAGCAACGAATAAGCAAACCCTGTATCTTTGAAAAAAAAAAAAAAAAAAATCTATTTTTTTGGTTCGACTCAATCCGATAGCGGTAATTTAATCAATAAATAAAACTATAATTAAAAACCGTATGTATGCTATTTATGCCTAGTGTGTAGCCGAAGTGTAAAGTGCCGAAGTATAGTAAGTGTTTTATGTAATTCGGCTACACACTACCCTGACTAAATAGTACTACTGCCAATATGCTCAACAATGTGGGGCATTATCGAACAATCAACGACAAAAATAGTGTCTAAGGAAAACAACATGGAGCTCAAAGAAAACCACACAAGAGGAACGCATATTAATGATCGTTTTTGATTGAATGTTTACATACTGTTTAAATCTACCCTCCGACTCGACTCATATTATACGATAATTTTAGAAATTGCTCGAAATTCAAAGGAAAGTCGAATGTCTAAAGACAAATTTTTAAAAATCCATTTCCAAAAAATGTTGATTCGGAGAAAATTTTCAAATGAGATGAGCCCAGACTCAAAATTTCTGAAAGTTTTCTATCGATCAAAATAATCCCCAACATGTTTAACTTTCTTCTATCGATGTTTTTGGCCATTGAATTGACTGAGATGAAGGTTGTAGGTAATGACTTAGCCAATTTCAGTTACTACAGCTCGACAGAATTAACAAAAGTAATCTCTTTTTTGGAGTCCTCAGTTAAACCACCCGTGGAAATCAGTTACACCACGACGACTGATTCAACAGGAAACGGGAACTTCAACGTATTGAAACGCAAGTTTCCATTCAAAAATGCTCAAACTGCTCTAGCGTCGCATTCATCTACAGTGGCGTGGCGTGCGCGGCGTAAATTGCGATGTATCGATTGTTATGCCATATAAACCTAAGTCAGAGAATCGATTATTAAAGTGTTCGCTGCGAACACCCTGCTTATCGATCCTTTTCCATAGGTTTAAATGGCATAACAATCGATATATCGCAATTCACGCCACGCCACTGCTTATCTATTAGCGAAGACGGTACCCGATGCGTATACTTTTTACCTCGACTCCGAAATTCAGAATGAGAGCAGCTTCTTTGAGCAGAACCGTTTCCGGCGTTGTTATTGCAAAAACACGGGTTCATTTTTGTTACTTCGCCACTCGCTGAATTTTTTCTAAGTTAAAATTTAATGCTCTAGATGTTCATCACCACAGTGAAACAAAACAAAGTGCCGACTTTAAAGTAGCACCGATATTGCAGAAATGGGAGGATACATGGACAGGTTAAATCATGCCACCATTTCCGATGAAATATCTCTTGAAACCATCACAGAAAGTATGAAATACGCCCGGAAGACACAGAAACCTTAATTTACTCTGAGGAGCGCTTGCAAAATGGATTGTGCATGTGGAGAAAGGTGGCAAAAAACGTGCGAGTTTTGCATACCGGATGGTATTTAGAATGGTAGAATTGAAGATATAATTTTTTTTTTAAATTAAACCGGCTCGTGTCGGAAAAAAATTGGTGGTCCAAACTCGGCAACGCTTGGAACAAGTAGGCGCAAAGTGCATGGGTATGGTTTAAGAGTTAAGCTGCGATGTGAGGACATTGTATTGATGCTAAGAAAAAAAGTCGGATGAACATTTGAATGTTGCAAAATTTCTTCTACAGCAATGTTCATTTTTGAGAAAAGTTATCAACATTTTACTTTAAAACTTTCAGGCAAATTAAGTTGAAATTCGAGTGAAATTCATTAAGAGTTACAGGGGAAATGTACGTATTGAATTATGAAATTCGTATTTTATGTGAAGAAATTCAGGAATATCGGAACGTTTACACAGCATACATTTATGGTATGACAGTATAGGAAGAGGAAGACGCTTTATCCTTGTTATTGATAGGAGCATTGGACTTTTCGCTTTATCTTCATTTGCGGGCACAAAGAATATGTGTTAGCAAACTTGCAGCGAAAAAAGTAACAAAATCATCTTTTGATTGGTGAAATGCAAGAGGGAGAAAGACGAATGGATAAAAAAAGCATACACCATATGCAACCTAATCTTAAACCAAGGTATTCACATATTTGAAGCTGATATTTATCTCAAATGACATAGCGAAAAAGATGGATTATTGATTCATTAAATGCTTCATTATTTGTTAAAATTGTAAAGAAAGTCCTTACTCTTGAATTAATAATTCTCTAATGATCAATATAAGATGCAAAGAATTAAGTCACGAAAGAATATAGCGCCTACAACCTAGCTAGTAGCGCAAAGGAGGAGGATGTGGTGTGTCTACATGGAGTTTAAAGGAGCTATTGGTTTTCTTCCGCGAGATCGCCAAGGAAAATCTAAGTGAAACATTTCAATGAGACTCTGTCAATGCCGATAACTCACACCTACTTAAGGACATGCCCGTTTTAAAACCAAACGCTAATGCACTATCAAACAGTCTGTTGATATACTAATGGGTATCAACCGAATAAACAGAGGCATTCCTATTGAATGAGTACCTAATAAACAAATCAGCATTAACAGAATACTCCGGGGTGTAGCATGTATTGCGTTCCGCGGTTGCGAAGGCGCTTTGAGAGAGTGTCACAAGTAACTTAATTCGAGTTCCTTTTAATGTTTTGATAATTCCTCCTCTCGCTCAACAACCTGCAAATCAGCTTCTCATCTAATATTATGGTTTCTCTGACATTATACAAATATCATTCTACTCACCGTTATTTAACAAAATTTGTTATTTTTCCATTTACTCAGAAGAGGACGCGGGCTTCGATCGAGGCTTTTTAAAACATTCAGGAATCCGTGCAAAACTTTAATTTGTGGAAATTCTTTCTGGGCATCTGTGTTAATTTTAGAGGAGACTCTGTCTACCACTTTAAGAGGTCTGTCTTTTGGATAGAGATAGGCCGATTATGGATTTCAAGGTATTGATTTTAGTTTTTAATCAAATGGTCAAAATTTAATCAAATCAAATGGTAATTTTAATCAGTTTTTAATCAAGCGGTTTTAATCAAATTACTCCAAACTTTACCGGGTATCGTAACTTTTAAAATCCAGCGTCCCCTTATACCCTCTTCTCAGCGTTGCGGGGCCAGGTCGGGAGGGGGAGGGGGGCTGTGAGACGATAAACTTTGGACTCCTTTGGGGACGATTTTTTATTCGTTCCCGTGGACTCCAACTTCGTCCAACCTACAATAATCGAGAAAAAAACCTAATACGGAATATCCAGAGTAAAAGTGTGGATGTAAAGTGTGGATGCACTCATTAGAAATTTTTTTTGCAGTGTTAAGCTTTTGAACGGTTGAAGTTGAATCATAAGCTTCATAATCACTAGAACAAATCAAACAAAAAATACAATTAGATATTTAGTATGTTTAGTTTCTCCGAGCGATGATTTTGAAAATAGTACAGGAGGATGAGGAAACTGGAAGGGTGCGTACTCGAATAGAGCCTTCAGGTTTTAAAATTATACTGGCAAACTATTTCCGAAAAATAAATGAATTAAAAAAATGAAAATCAAAACTGAAGATTCAAAAGTATGTTTTTTCTTCTTCCTCCTAATCTGGCAAATCAACATCTCGCAATAGTCATTTGCAGTGGCGTGGCGCGCCTCGATATATATCGATATTTCCCTATTTGAGGCTATGGTAAAGAATCGATTATTAAGGTGTTCGTTGCGAACACCCTGATAATCGATCCTTTTCCACAGGTTTAAATGGCAGATCGATCGATATATTGCAAAGCACGCCACGCCACTGGTCGTTTGCCGACCAGGAAATGCTATTCGGAAGATTAATTTATCCTGTGATCGGATTTATTCCTGAAAGCTGAAGGTTCATGCCTCAGCAAGCACTTGTGCAAACGAAAACAAAATGAGGACCAAACATGTCTCGTGATGTAAGCACGGTGCATCATCGCATGAATGAAAATAAAAACACGTCGATAAGTTCGTATCAATGACGATACTGTCGAACTCAAACCCTCAAATACAAAGAAAAACGTGGTAGCTGGTGAAAAATAAATTGCCTTAACCGATTTGAAACTTTATGAGCCTTGATCCTCGGATTAATTCAATGCTAAGTTTTTACGGTAGTCCCATGTTGGACATTTCAGTTGCTTTTCTGAAGCTCTTACTTACACGATCCTGGATTTGATCCATTCCCTTGCTGATGCATGTGAAGTGAAGTTTCTTGTCTCATATACACTTTCATGGCAAATATGTGTGCTTCGCGTGGTTTTTCGTGGTCAATAGTGTTGTGTCGTGATTAATATTATGTTTTGACCGAATGCAAAGGAAGAAAAAGATTTTCTGTATCCTAATCAATCGATTTAAAACACAAATCTTCGCCAATTAAAATTAAAGCAAAGTGTCGCACTCTATCTTACCGTTGAAGTCAAATAACTTTTTTGCAAAAAGAATAAAAAACTGAATGTGGATTTTTCAGCTTTATAGAGAGCAGGATAGACTCAAATCTTATCAAAAACACGAGCGAAATTCGATAGTGCTAATTACTTAAAGTCGTATGTTTTAAGACTTTGAACTTCTTTACTTATTTTAATTAGCCGGATTAAAAGAAAATTGATCATTTTAGAAGTCTCGCTATAGTTATCTCAACGATAGTTAGCGTATTCATAATGCACAGTCGCGAATTAACATTTATCGTCACAATATTGGTACTTCGGGATTTTTTGGTGTGTTCCTCTTCGGTCGAATTTTCCCATGACACAGAACCTCTGTCAGCTCGTCCTAAAAGTGTTCCCGAAATAATAAGCGCCAAAGTTTCGAAAGAAAACTCCGCAAAGTTGGGTTTCAAAAACCCTGGTGAAGTTGAAAAATCATCCATCGCTAAAGACCATAGTGAGAAATTACAACCTGCAAGTTCACTTGATTTCGAAAGAAAACAGGGTCAGCCGACGGACGAGAATGCTTTCGTAAGGCAAGCACTTGAACAGTTCGAAAAGTTCAAAAAAGCATCACGTCAGAGGGCACTCGATCAAATCAGAAGTCTCGAAGGAAAAACAGAATCGCTCGCATTTTTGACGTCAAAAAACGGAAATTTAGAAGTCGATGCGCCGGGGAACATGGAAAAACCTCAAATGAGTTTGGATCATAACAAAGTTGATTCTAAAAACCCCCCATCGGAGCCTGGATTCACTGACATTGCAGAGTTAACGATTAAAAATTCCGGAGATGGTCTTGAACCACTCACACTTGATTCTCTTAAGGAAGTGAAAAAAATCGACAGACGACTCGAGCTACCGGTTTCGAAGAGAGGCACCTTCGAGACCCGGAAAAAAATATCACCCAAGATCGGTTACGGGAACGGATCCCAAGGGATCCCGAAAATCCAAAAGCCATCAAAAACCACTCCATCGAAACTTGGTAAGGAGAGCCGCGATGTCAAAAACAGCATCCATAAAACAGCCGGAACACTAGGCACAGGGATTGCCAAGGATAAAAGGACTCCGTTGCTGACACGTGACACTGAGGACTTGGATAAGAACCGAGTTCCAAAAATCAACAGGACTTTCGAGGGAGCGCTCAACAAACCACTTGCTGTAAAACTTACAGGCAATATTGAGAAACAACAAACTGCTGACGATCAGCGAAGCGAAAACGCGATATCGGATGTGAAGATTCCTCTCCTGAAACCAGCCCCAAAAGAGGTCCCGGAAACTTTTTATTGATTTTTGAGATTTTGGAATAGTATTTAAAGATGAAAAAGATGAAAAACACGGAAAAAAAATTGCTGATTCAACAATTCAATTGCTAAAAACAGTGAGTGCAATGTTTCAACGCAGATTTTACAACAAAAACATGCTACTTTAACCACATTGTAAACTAATTTAACCACGGGACTGGTTAAAGTAGCATTTTTTTGTTGTGAAATCTGCGTTGAAACACTGCACTCACTGTTTTTAGCAATTGAATTGTTGAATCAGCAATTTTTTTTTTCCGTGAAGTATACCAAAACACGCATATTGTTGAATAAGGTTTAATGGCTTGGATGCATTTCGGGCTTAGCCCGCATCTTCAGCAAGCACTTAAAACAAAACACAGAAACAAGTTAATTACAGTAAAGTATTGTCATAATGCATGATGGAGAAGAATACCTAGCCTTACCTATAACCTAAACCTTATTCAACAATATGCGTCTTTTGGTATACTTTTTCATCTTTTTCATCTTTATCATAACAGCACGCGAGATGCGTTTTTCCAGTTAATGGTATTTACTTGCCCTTGAGCACACTGAATTTTGCAATAAAGAATGGCCTCTATTGAATTGTAGCTAATATTTTCCAACTTTTACGTTTACATTGTATAAATTTTAGGTAGGTAAATGGGTGAACTACAAAGGGGAATTCTCTATTTCTTTTATGAGTCCTCATTATGAGCACGAGGAAGAAGTACTCAAATTTTATGGTTTTTATTGCGTAATCTTAGCGGTATTCACTGTCATCAGTGCTTTATTGCAAAATGCTGTTCAAATAGTTATACTTAAGTTTTGATATTATTCAACCAATCGGTGGTACTATAAAATTTGGATATAGTGGTTTATATTTGCAGAATTCAATTTCTGTCTTAGTAATCAGAATAATTGGGTTTATAAAAAGTTATTTGTCGAAGAAGGTTTTGAAATCAACTCTGAAAATTTATATCTAAATAGAGAGACTGGTAAGAGGAATTTACAAAATTTAGAGCGTTTGGTGAGATGATTATTTTATAATGTAATCTAGTATGCAATCTGTAAGCTATGCCTATAATGCACTGAAAAAATTCTTAAACAAATACTCTGTCCGGTTTTAGAAAAAGTTTAAAGAAAATGAAAAGGCTCTACACACTTTCCTCAGCCTAAAAAAAGTTTCTTTTTATGTAAAGATTATTTAATTTATTTACTTTAAAAAGTGTCTCTATTCAAATTTGGCTACTTTCATTCGAACGCGATATGCTTTTGTATAGCTTTGGATGTGTAGCAACCCTACTCTGCCCTAATGCAAGCAAGGCTGATACCTACCCAAAATCTATGCAACGCCATTTGACTCACCTCCTTTGGCATGACTGCACCATCCTAATTTCCATATTTCCATATTCCAATTTACCTATTCCATATTATTTCCTTTGATAAAAATGATGGAGAATTTTCCGGTGTCTGAAATTTGGTGAATTTTATGTTTCAATGGAAACTGCCGAGTGAAGTGCACCCGAGGATACCCTTGGTTCAAACATTGAACAATTATTGGAGGAGGAATGACAAAAAAATGATCCAATAACAATGTTAAAGTACATGTTTAAATGGGAAATGTCACCAGATAACGTCGAATATTTTCTCACTTTTAAATCTATTTTTATATTATTTATCACATCAGAAAAAAATACGAAAAATGCTAGGAAATCTTTCAAGTACTATCAGATGAAGCAATAAAACATTTGCGTGCAAATTCTCCATCGGGCTCATATTTTAATTGAGCGGCCTGGAGGACAAGGCTCATAAGTGCAATTTTCGCTATTTTGAGAAATACATGTTTGAAGTTCCGAAATTTCACAGATCTTTGGCTATCCTCGTGGCCATATGAAGTTCAAATTGACTTTTTCATGCTTAAAAAGCGGAATCCGGGAGCGAATTTTTCACGGAATATGCTTTAAGACTAGTTTCACTTGAAATTATTAATAACTCAATTTTTTCAAAAACTGCACTTAAGTACCTTGTCCCTCAAGCCCCTCAAATGTAGATTGATCAATTCTCTCATACATATATACTGCCGTGCTAAGAAGGACGCCGTATGAATATTCTAAAGCTGCCAAATTTCCCTGGATAGAACACGTATTATTAAGAAAATGTATGCAACTTTTTGATTGAAATTTCCAGATATTTTAGATTAAATTGCGCACCTGAGAAATTCCAGGAAAAATACTCACAATTTTCCCACTAGATTCGCTTTTTATCTAAGGAAATATGGCAACATCTGTAGGCTCATACGGCGACGGCGCTCTTCCCTAGCACGGCAGTATAATCCATTATACAAAATTGACAAGATCCTAATCTCTCCATAGACAATCGAAAACACAGGAAAATGCGGAAACAAGGCTAAAATACAAAATACAAAGGCAGGACGTCTCGGTACCTTATTCTGTTATCACTGCAGTCTCATTTACCAATTTCACCAGGTAACGCCGTTTGCTGGTTTTTATTTTAATTTCTTTTTTATTTTTAATTCTATATTTTAGCAGTTGATAATGGTGCCGTAAGGTACCGAAGCGTCCTGCCTTTGTATTTTGTATTTTAGCCTTGTTTCCGCATTTTCCTGTGTTTTCGATTGTCGTTTCTGTTTCGGGCATGCTTTTACATTCTCTTTGTTTTCCACTCTCTCCACAGAGTTCAAAAATCGCAAGGAATGAGACGACAAAACCCAGCCTGAAGCGTAGGATCTCGGCTCCGAACATGGTGTACCACTTGGACGCGGAGTGCGTGGCCTTTCCGAGCGAGCGAACGCGCTCGAAGTTCCTGGCGCGTGAGCAGTTCATCCCCCGAAACCTGATGATCAACCGGGTCCAGTTCTCCGGGGACAGGGCCTACGTGGCCATGCCCAAGCTCAAGCGGGGGGTCCCTTTCTCCGTGGGCAAAGTGTCCCTCGCGGGGGGCCCTCGGAGGGAGCTCCGCATCGAGGCCTTCCCCAGTTGGGCCATCCACCGCTACGCCAACATCAGCGGTATCGTCAACGCCGTGGACATCTTCGCCGAGGAGGGGACGCTCTGGATCTTGGATACGGGGGTCGTGTCCACCCTCGAGAACCCCGAACGACTGGCTCCGCCCAAGGTGTTCGCCGTTGATCTGGTCACCGAGCAGGTAAGCTTTTATTTGGAGCATTGGCGTTGAGCACCATTTCGTGGGTATTTTGAACTCCGGTGGGTAATTGGTGGGAAATGGGTAATTCGTGGGAAATCCAGGCAACGGTGGGTAATCTGTGGGTATTTTCTCATTCACTAAAATCCAACGAAATAACCGTAAGAAAATTCAAATTTGGCAGTAAACGGTGGGCGAACAGTGGGCAAACGGTGGGTAAAGTTGAAGCTGGTGGGTAAACGTGGGTAAAGTTGGGTGCTGTTGGTGGGTAAACGTGGGTAAAGTTGAAGCTGGTGGGTAAAAGTGGGCAAAGCTGGAGTCGGTGGGTAAAGTGTGAGTAAAATTGGAACCGGTGGGTAATCGGTGCGCGGAAAAAACAATCCGGTGGTTAATCGTGGGCTCAAAAGTGGGTAATCGGATCGGCAGCCCTGACGTTGACCCGTATAGAGGCATTTTGATCGAATTTACTTTGGTTCGGAGTTTAGATTTTATTTGATTTTCCACCACAGCTTTTACCTCTTTCTTTCTTTCTTTTCCCCCCCAAAATTCGTTACAATTATAGAATTTTCACTTTACTTTTATTTTTATCTTGGAGTGCCACCGGAAGTTTTAAAAGTAGGATCAAACCTCAACCTCCACGAAATTCACTTCTAAACTGAGAGCTCACAAAAGACAGCGAGAAAATGGAGCGATTCTGATCGTAGAGGTGGGTGGTTGCGATCTACAAAGGAGGTGATGTTAGGGTACTGTTGGTCCATCATATGGACGTATTTCTATCAAACGGAACTATGTGCATTATGGCGTGAGCCCTGTGCACATACCCTTATGGGTCTCAGAGCTCATGTCTTATTACACATAGTTCCGTTTGATGGAAATAAATACTTCCATATATCCCCTAAGTCTATAATACTGAATAAAATGTCACGCTACTGATTAAAATGTATGTTGCAGGTAATCAAAGCAATAGACTTGTCGAACTTCGTCGACAAAACGAGCCGTCTGCAGCACTTGGTCGTTGAGTCCGGTCCGTACGACTGTCGCTTCGTCTACATCAGCGACGCAGCATCGCGAGGCCTCATCATCTGGGACGTGTGCCACGACTTCGGCTCGAAGATCATCCTGCCGAGGTCCACCCAACCGGAAGTCGCCGCCAGACCGGATATCCTGTACCTCGGCCTCGTCACCCGCGGGAAGATGGACCTTCTCGCCTTGACGTTCCTCGGAGCGGAGCGTCTGTTCGGCATACCCACCTACTCGCTGCAGAACCTCAAATTCGGCACCATGACCGGCGACGTCACCAATATGGGCCTCAAGCCGAGGAAGCTGGTCATTCTCGCCGCGAATCAGCAATGGATGTACTTCCGGTTTGTCGCCTCCGGGGATGTTTATGCGTGGGATGTGGGCACGGATTTCAAGGAAGAGAACTTCAAGAAACTTCGGACTGGGGGCGAGGAGGGATTTGCGACGCAGGTGGCGGTTGGACACAAGAGGATGATCTGGGCCCTGGAGTCGAATTTTCAGGACTACGGCAAGCAAGGAAAGGAGTCCGGGCTTGTTTTCTCCATCAGGGCCATTTGCAAAATCTCTGACGTGCAATTTATTTAGGTGAAAAAATCGGAGCTCAAATTCTCTGGGTAATAAAGATACTGATTTTTCTTCTGTGAAGTGTTATCCAGGAGTGCCCCCCCCCCCATTAAGGCACCCGCTTTTGAAAAACCAGTTGACTTATTCTCCTGTCCTATCAACAAGTTTGCTTGACATTGAACCATTTTAATATCATCTTATGTGGTCTTTATGTTAGCACTTGCTTCAACTGATTGGGTGCGTGGCCCAGGGCATTTTAATTCATGTTATGCGTACTTTATTATTTTTTTTATTTTTATACCAGAATAAATAAAATGCTTTTAAAAAAACTTGCTTGTTTTGCGTCAATTCTTTCCGATCAATACCCCACACACGAAAGATTCTTGTTGAAAAAAGCATTGGTTTTGTTGCAATTAATTCTCATAGTGTATGCCAGGGCCAATTTACTTTACTAAACGTAGTTACAATGTTTCTTTTGTGGTAATCATAATTTCGGTCCCGATAATATTGCAGTCGAAATAAAAATTTTGCGAGAGTCAAATATTCATGCGGCGTGTTTTGGGCAGAATGGAGATGTTGCATGTGTGAGGAAATCGCGATTTGACTGTTGATTCTTATGTAAAAGTTCGCGAGAAACACGATGGTGCCACTGGTTTTCTCTGAAATCAACTCCCAAGCTCAAAAAAAGCTCTCAAGTTGAGGCCAAAATGGAGGGGATATCCCACGCTATTCTGAGAGTCCACCTCTACATCAAGACAAACTCCATGCAAAGATAGGGAGCAAATTCATTGACAGGGCTGCCACTTCATTTGGGGACTCCAAAACTAAAAACACGGCAACCCTGCTAATATATTTGTTCCCTATCTTTGCCTGGAGAGTTTGTCTTGATGTAGAGGTGGACTCTCAGGATAGCGTGGGATATCCCCTCCATTTTGGCCTCAATTTGAGAGCTTTTTTTGAGCTTGGGAGTTGATTTCAGGGAAAACAAGTGGCACCATCGTGTTTCTTGCGAACTTTTACGTAAGAATCAACTGTCAATTCGCAAATTCCTCACACATGCAAGATCTCCATTACGGCGCGGTGTTAATCTAAGCGCAATGATGCAACTATTCGTGTTCCACGGATATCAAAATTGCATACTTGAAAATTGAAGGCGCTTCAGTTTCGCTCCGACGCAGCCAGTGTAGAACTTCCTTCGTGGTGATCTTCCATTTTTACACATAAATGTGTTCACAATTACTCTTTATTAGAACAGAAATTTGAACAAAATTTTTACCCTTCAACAGAAATGTAAATTTTAATTTATAAGATCTTTTAAATTTTAAAATTCTACTTATTTACGATTTGTTTTATAAATATATTTTTAATCGATATAATTCATCTAGACACATAGTTAGTTAACTTTAGGTTGAAGCGCAACTGCTGGCACCTAATTAGCTGGAATTTAAATGCATTCTTGTAGTAGATTGCTCTAATTTCTAAATTCTAAATGTTAAATTTCTAGTTGTGTCAAATTTCAGATCTTTATACATTTAAGACAATTTCTAACTTTTAAACTAAAATAAAATTTATATTTAAATTTATAATTATCAAAATAAATATAAAAAAGATATATACAGCTGTTTTAAATTAAATTTAGTTTAAGAAGATGCTAAGGAATAATGTTCATTACAGCCTTCAGAAGTAAATTCCAGAAAAGTAGAAAGAACCTGGAATGCAACACGAGCATTGTAAGCTCAACGATTCGTTTTCCTTAATTTAGAGTCGAACAGAACAAAGGAAATGGCAAATGAATTACCTAATTTTATTATTAAAATTAAAAAATCCAACGTATAAAAAAGTACAAAATTTTCAGACTTGGTAGCATTGGCGGATCCAGCAAATTGGCAACGTTGTGTTTTCTCCACTTAAATCTATGGAAATGTATCGATCCTTGGAGGGGTTATGTGCTCCGACAATAAACGATTATTTAGCATTGGTTTAAATGGAAGAAATCCGGTGTTGCCAAATTTCTGGATCCGCCTCTGCTTGGTAGCTCAGTTTAGCTTGAGGATTCGGGTGCAATAAGAGCCTTCCTCGTTGCGGAGCCCGTTGAGGGCCCAGACGTTCTTCTGGGAGTCCTTGAAGATCTGACGAACGTCGGGGAGGAGATCGGCGGACTGGATGAGGACCTCGTGGTTTTCGGCGACGAGGGGCGCATGCGTGTTCCACCTGACAACGGCGTAGTCCCGGAGCAAAGAGTAGATGAGACCGCCCCGCGAGTCCGACATCAACCCCGCTGATTTTCCCAGCTTCTCGCCGACCAGCTTTGGACTTAGGGTCCGGTTCTGCGAGCACTCCTAGACAATAAAATATATAGATAGGTAGACAGATAGACAGATAGACAGATAGATAGATAGATAGATAGATAGATAGATAGATAGATAGATAGATAGATAGATAGATAGATAGATAGATAGATAGATAGATAGATAGATAGATAGATAGATATAACTTTATTATGCTCCTTTTTACAGTATAACAAGATTATTTAATAAGTGCGAACAAAAGAAAAGTAACATAATAAAACCACCCACTAAGGTTGGACCTTGTATCGGGTGGGGTCTTATTAATTGAAAAATAAATGTTCACTAATCATTAGAAAATGAAAGAAAGGCGGAACAAGAAGAGAAAAAAAAGAAAGAAAAGAAAGAAATAAGAAAGAAAGAAAGTAGTAGTAGTAGTAGTAGTAGTAAAAGAAAGAAAGAAAGGAAGAAAGAAAGAAGAAAAAAAACCACTTTATCCCCTTCCCAACCCCCGATTACCCTTTCTCCTTCCTCTTTCTGTAGTATATGTTTTATGAAAAGGATTCACTGGAAAAAAAACACATTGGATCTAGAGTCGAGACTCTTAAAAACATCGACAAGAAAATATACTCTTGATTCAATCAGATTGAAGCTTAAATCAAGAACCAAGCCTCTTAATTCGAGCGGATTTCCTTTTGATTTAAGCTTGAATCTGATTGAATCAAGAGTCCTTTTTCTTGTCAATGTTTTCAAGAGTCTGGACTCTAGATCCAATGTGTTTTTTTCCCCAGTGTTTAAACATTTGTGAAATCTGAGAAAATATGACGTCCGACGGGAAAGGATGAGATGGTTATAAACTTAAACAGCTGCATTGAAAAAAAAAAGTTCGATGAATCCGAACTAGTTAGGAGGAAATAAAACCAGGTCTTATGCGGTATACACACAACCGAATTATCCGGTCTGCTCAACCAAACGGCTCGGTCCGCTGAACCAAACAATTTAAAAGATTTCGTTATAGTTCGGTTCAGCGGACCGAACAGGTTGTTAAAGCAGACCGAATGATTCGGTTGTGTACACCGAACAAAACCTGGTTCCATATGCTCCTAACTATTTCGGATTCACCGAACTTTTTTTTCAGTGTGCAAAAAGAGTAAAAAGACAGAAAATAGTGGGTGAACAGGCTGAGTTCAAAAATGATAGAAAAAAATCCTCACATCATCTTGCATAAATCTTTTACGATATTGTATAAATACACGATGTAGAATCAGTCTTTATGGGCTGATTATTGTGATTCATAGACAAAGTGATCGGCTTAGAAAACTAAGGGAAAATGAAGCGATCCTATTGGTTTAAACGGACGGTTCTTAAAGACAAACGGGGGAACGATGGACCAACTAAAAGATCTCTCGTGGGATGCCGACAATTATTGGTATACCTCCTTGTTACCTCCTTTTTAGATTGCGAACACCCGCTGACACCAGTGCATAGAATCGCTTTTTACAGCTCAAATTAAGGCTTGAAATTTTGCCTCTCATATTGCATCCTTTATCAAAGAACTAAACAAAATTACCTGTTGAATCTTGTACTAAAATTTTCCTAGATTAAAAAGACTGTACTCACAAAATTGCAAGTCAACATGTTGCTTAGTTGGACGTATTTTTGCCTACGATGGGCAAAGTGAGAAACCACGTATCTCCTTTTGCGAATTTGCAGCCTTCCTACCGTACTTTATTTCTGCTTTGGGAAACTAGGTAACATAATTTCTCCAAAACTTTCTTGATTTTTCCTCTCTGTTGGCAGGATAATCCGTAAAAAGGTCAAGCTATAAGTTGGCTTTGAAGCGCTCAACCGAGAGTTAGCGCTTAAGCGCTTTCTAGGGAGCTAGCAGAGACAAGAGACCCTCCACTGGCCTCTCGGCGACAGGTAGAAGCTTTTATTTTCGGGAATTCAACACTCTCTTATGGGCAATTAAAAGGGAGCAACAGTCATCACGTACGGCAGTCAGTTTGGCTGTACACCTACTTTCATGGTGGATTGATTCGGGTGACGTCATGAGCCAAACAAGTTTCCCAAACTTCGGCTTGTTTGCAAAACGAAACTGCCACGTTGTTAACTATCAACCAAGTAGGTAGGTCAGCAGTTGACTGTTGAAATCCGGAAAGTAAAAGCTTCCACCATCGCCAAGATACTAATGGAGGGTCTCTTGTCTCAGCTGGGAGCTAGCCATCGATATGTCAATTTATTTTTAATGAGACAACTCACGGATTTGCCATCAGCTTTGTCGATGTCACTGAGTTGCTCCAAGCTCATGGAAAATAAGAACTGGCTATTGGATGACGTCATGTAGAGAACGCCCTCTCTTTTGGCGAGGGCGAGGTGTGCCGTGGGAACGGGGGGAGAGGTCGGCAGCGCGGCTCCGGTGGACTCCAGTTTAACCCTCCACCAAAGTTCCTCCTTGAAGCTGTACACGATCAGAAGATTGTCGGTGACGCCTCCGATGTAAACCCGCGTGTCCGAGTTGAGATAGTCCACCACGAGAGAGCGCAAAGTTAGCCTCGGAGCGTTGGTTAGTTCCGTCCGCGAAACCTGAGAACATAATTTTTAAAAAAATTCCATGATCTTAGTCTGCCAGAGTCGAGTCATAGGACTCTTGACATATGTTGCCTACCGAGGGCTAACGAACACTAACGCCTAACTGACGATTTGGGCAAAAATTAGTTAGCGACTTTGCCGTATTCTGCAGTATAAAATTCAGAGACTTTAATGCAGCGAAGAAAAGTTGGCGTCCCGTCAAACGTGAGTTGCTCGAGGCATGGAAATATTATTAGTTTTCCTTTAAAAGTTTCCTCGTGCTCAACCACACCAGAAATTATTAAGACGACAAAGTGCGGGTATCACCACATGCAGAGACTTTGACGCAGGGCAGAAAAATAGGAGTACCAATTTACCATCAATAACACTAAATCGCTCGTAACTGTCAGAGGCGGGTCCAGCAATTTGGCAACGCCGGATTTTCTCCGTTTAAACCTATGCTAAATAATCGATTCTTGTCGGAGCACCCGGCCCCTCCAAGAATCGATATATTTCCATAGATTTAAAGGGAGGAGAAGGCAATGTTGCCACTTTGCTGGATCCGCTATTGGTAACTGTTTACCCACATCAAGATAGTCCTTTCCCTTATTGCGTATAACTTTAAAGGAACTAGGGTACGCCACTAGACCCCCTGAAGTGCTTCGCTCCTCATGCGTTACGCATTATTCTTATGATTTTATAGTATAGAGTAAGATTTAATGGAAGCCCATCGAAAGACATTTTACGTAACCCCGTAATAACCCAAGTAGCAGTTTTCAATGGAAAAATCGCCATATTTTAAAATGAAGGTGCGATTTTTTTTACGATTTCTTCGCGATAAAATCGCTAGAATCATCAACATCTGGGCGATTATTCTCAATTTTGTCGCAATTTTATATCTGTAAAATCACTTTCAATAAAATCGAAATTGTATCTCAATTTAGCACGATTTTTTGCTCAATAGTATTGCGGTAATCGCCGGCAATACAATTGCGATTTTATTGCAAATTTATGCGATTTTATTGCAATTATTTATCCGATAATATTGCAATATACGGACCTCGCTAAAATCGCGAGATGTTCGCAACTTACCGCGATGCTGATGATCACTGCTACTTGCTTAAGTACGCCTCCAGAAATGCCGTGTATGATTTACCTGTCGGTTTACAACTAAGTCGATGACAGCGATCCTGGGATGACAATTTTTGGATCCTAGGAGCAGTGTAAACATCCGTCCTCTCGCATCGATGTCGATTGCTACCGCCGCCTTCAACTTCATACACTCGCTTTCAAGCTCCTAAAAACCAACGCATACATTAAAAACATGAAAAATTATGACTGAAGCTCATTTTTAGGGAATTTCCTCGATGGAAGAGTCTCGATGGAAGTCTAGTTCAAAAAGAGGGGGAGATTGTAATTCTTACAAAATATTCGTCTCGTAAAGATGCCAAATGAGAAATGACAATGATCGTTGAACTAAGAGCAATACTAATAAAGACTAATATCTTTCCCTGTCTCCCCTTCCCCCTCTCCCCCAGGAAAGTGAGTAAGGGGATATCCTTGGTCTCTTAAGGCACCGTTCAAGTATTACGTAATGCACTTTTTCCGATTTCTTGACACCCCCCCCCTCATTTTAAACATATCAAGAAAACGCTGAAAAAATATCTTGAAATAAATTCGGGTTTTTGGGGGAAATATTTCGCTGAAATATGACGGAAAGATATCAAAAAAGGAGTGAAAATACGTAATTTTTAGACTTTTGCACGTTTGTTTCAAAGTTTCCCCCTCCCCAAGCTCGGATTTGATCCGTAACGCTAGGCTCGACCTCCCCCCCCTCCCCAATTCTGCCGTGCCAAGGAAAAACGCCGTATGAGCCTTCAGGCGTAGCCATATTTTCTTTGATAACCAACAAATTTACTGCAAAAATTCTCAATATTTTTCTTCAAATTTTTCAGACAGTTTTGTTTCCAATTAAATCTAAAATGTTAAAACCATGTGACCACCACCATGTCACCAACCACGTCATGTGTTAATGTGTCTTCAAAAATTGTTAAGGAACAATATGCATAACTTCCCTCGAAAATACATGTTTTATTCGGGGAAAGTTGGCAACTCTCGAATGTTCATACGGCGCTCTCCCTCAGCACGGAAGAATTGTAACGCACCGTGACGCTGGCTCAAACACCCCCCCCCCCTGAGTACATACATGAGTCGCTTTTATAGCGCTCTCTGGCGCTTTGCGACGCCTAATCGCCACAAGACTCGATCCTCTCACAATCAATTTGACACTCCCTCATCTCATTTAAAACCCCCTGTCGCCACCCTCTCACTGGGCGTCTCCTTCGTCTCCTCCCAGGAGGAACCCAATTAAGCATCTTCTTTGGCAGCCTCTCTTCCGTCATCCTATTAACATGACCGTACCAGTCAAGCTGTTTGGTCATGACGTCGAACACGATGTCATTTTCGACCTCTATGATAGTGACGCACTCCCTTATTACGGACCCGATCTCTCCCAGAAATTCCTGCCCCCCTAAGTGCGTCACGTAATACTTGAACGGCCCCTAAGAACTTACCTGGGCTTCGATTTTGAGGGCCTTGAGTCCCCAGCTCTGGGTGGCGTCTTCCGGCCAAGGCGCCTCGAATATGGCCGAGCCGAGGTAGTTGATTTTCCGCGGCGGCGCCTTGCTCACCGCATTGGCGTCGGTCCCATTTTTGTCCGGCTTCGGTGGCGCCATCTTGTCCGACATGCAGAGGAACGCCCGGTTGTTCCAGAAGGCCACGTCGATGATCTCCTTGGCCCCCGGCCCGGAGGTCTCGAAAATCCACGCGGCTACCACCTTGGTCAGCAACGCTGAGATGAGGAAATGTTGGGCGCGATGTTTCATCCTCTCACCCGCTCTCTTACAAATGGATATACACCAAGTTAAATTCCCTAGATAGGAAAGAGGTAGTGTGTACGACCTCTGCGGGCAGATTGTTGAAATTGATAGACAAAGCTATAGACAAAGAGGATATAAGGTGTATGGAGCGATCCTATTGGTGGAGGTGGGTGGTTGCAATGGAAAAAGGAGGTAGGTATAGACTAACTATCGGCAACACACGAGACACCCTATAGTTAGTACATCATTTTCTCCCTTAGTCTAGGAACCACTCGTTTTAACCGCTCGAATCTGTCAGACTATAAGATCAGTAGACTGATTGTTGAACTTGTTAGACAAAGCAATATACAGAGAGGACAAAGGGAGTATGGAGCGATCCTATTGGTTGAATTGGATGGTTCTTATAGACTAAGGGGGTAAATGATGGAATAACTAAATCGAGTTTCTCGTGGGTTGTCGTTACTTAGTCTCTTACCTACGTCCTTCGTCCATTGCAACCATCCGCTTCCACCATCCGCTTTTGTCTTCCTTGTCTATTGCTGTGTCTATCAGCTCGCTGGTTGAAGTAACGGGACTTCGAGCAATACGCTGAAGAAAAGTTTGGTCCTGTGAAACGCAGTTACAGTGTTCCATATTGACAGTGCACTCGGTTCTTCCTGCCGAGCTTTTCCGTAGAACATGGTAATTGATTCCCATGTTCTATATACAGCTTCGCCAGCCAAATTTAGCAACACAACGCTTTTCCGTAGTTTGGTTTAGTTTGAAAATTCTATTGTATGAACCCAAGAGAAAACAAGAGCAGCAATTTGAATTGGGGGCCGAGTGACACCCTCTCATTTTACAAGTCGTCTCTGAGTGGCCGATCCGTCCGGCGCCCACTTTCTGAGGTCTTCATGGAATAACAGTTCATTTTTCATCGAAAATATATCGAAGACAAGTGAAAATGTCCGTGTCGGAGATTTCAGAAATTGATTTTCCAGATCTTTCTGAAGAGATTGCTGGGTAATTAATACTTGCATGACACTTTTTCCTCAAGCACACCGAACGGTTTGACCTGGAATTTTGTTTTCTCATGACACTATGTGTCATATTTCAAGTTGAAAAAACAAAAATGCCAGGTCGAACTTTTCGGTGTGTTTGAGAACAAAGTGCCCTGTATTACTCATGAATCTCCACAGAAAAATCTGGAGATTAGATTTCTGAATTCTCCGACGCGTAAATTTTTTCTTGTTTTAGAGTTACTTTCGATGAAAAATGAACCCCGTGTTATATTCAATAAGGGCCCCAAAAAGTGGGCACCAGGCGGATCAGCCAATCAGAGGCGACTCGTAGAATTAGGGGGTGTCACTCGCCCCGCAATTCAAATTGCCTCCCTTGTTTTCACTTTGGTATGAACCGAGGTTATGGTTTCTAGAACCAAGAGTTTGGTCACACGAACCGAGAGCACGGCCAATATGGAACACTGTGCTGCGATTTCTTGACTCAATAAATTTATGAGAATCTTCTTATCAGTATCTTATTATTAAATGACAGCCAAATTACTGCATACAATTAAAATTCATCAAAGAAACTTGTTTATCATATTTTCAACTTTTTGCAGAGCTAGAATTCGTCTGTTCACTTGAACGCCAGAAATTAGTGGCCCACTAAAATTCCCCTTCAAGTATGCCAGTTAGGCAACACACCTACAAGGACCTCGTATAGTTACCTACTGGGAAAAATATGCATTTCACTCCATGCTTGCACTGAATTATGAACAGGCCGTGATTCCAATTTTTAAGAGTTAAAGCTTTCATGCTTTTAAAAAGGTTTGAGGAAATTGCCTCTAAAGTAGGTACCAACCGCAGCAGCTGCTCGCTTTGCATGCATCAGTGGAAGTTTCGTTAATATATTTGTTATAATCCAGTAGAAATTCAAAGAAGGGTCACTTGGCTTTTTATGTACATATAATAAAACGACTTGATTTGTAATTAGGTAACGTAAAATGTGTTTTGGCTGTAATTCTGGTTCCATTCGTCTAGCAATACGTGTTGATACTTTTAAGTGAAACCTATATTTATATTAGAAAAAAATATGTGTAAAGTATAATCAATTGGACGTATTTCTATCAAACGGAACTATGTGCATTGTGACGTGAGCCCTGTAATGCATATATTCTTATGGGTCTCTGGGCTCTGTCTTAATGCACATAATTCCGTTTGATAGAAATAAGTCCAATTAAGGGTGACCATGTCGTATCAAAATTCATCAACCATTCTGCTATAATACTAGCCTCAGAATATCATGAGTTTGTTACAGATGGTGGAGGATTTTAATCTTAGTTTTATAATGTATCCGAATGTTTATCACTTGTATGACCAAGTTATCTTCGTTGTCGCTATAGTGCAAGTATTACAACCAATATGTATAGTGCCATTTAACGGTTATTCATTATGAAACATTAATCACTAGAGCTAAATGATTATTGGTACCTGCGATTGTTTCAAATATTGAATGAATTTTGTACCAACGCGTGTCCTTTTGATTGAGAATGTTTTCGTGAATTTATCAGTATAACATGACGCACATAATTAAGAAAACATATAAGCCGCACTCCAAATTTTCTGTCTTGAAATCAACCTTCCTGGCAAGCTTTGAAACGTAACTGCAAAAAACTTTTGAGACCCTTTTGTGCGATCTCAAAGAGTCGAGGAACTGGTTGAACATTTTCGTCACTTCACCGAACTGAAAACTGACCGGTGTTGTTCTGGCGTATACATGATCCAATGATGAAAATGTCCGCGGTTCGAGAAAGTAAACAATTTCCGACCTCTTCGAATTTCCCATTGGATGTAATGTTTCGGAAAGTGTTTCGAAATGAGTTTTCGAAGGAAAATCAGATTTGCCAGCTTGTCAAAAATTATAATATGGGCATGAAATGAAACTTCCTCATGTGATTACTCAGAAATTGTGTAAGAGTGAACCCCAAGATAGGATTAAAATTAATCACTCCAGTAAAAATAGTTTCTCATCAGAATTTACCTAAAATACGATTAGCGTAACAAAAATTTTAGAAATTCAACTCATCATTGAGGAATAAAAGTTGTCCTTTATCGTTTTTTTAAACTTCTCGCTCTTCAAAAACCGAAGTCTACTTGAGTCAACAAAATTAATTTCACTGTATCATGTGCTAATAATATTATTAGAGTGACAATACACTTAAGAGCAAAGGAAACCTCCATTGATAGACCCCCTCCCTTAGGATCGAAAAGAAAGTCTTCATTTTTAATTTGTTTCTGAGGCAGTTTTTTTTTTTTCCAGAATTTTTCAAAAGGAAAAACACAATTTTTTCTCACCCATGGCATCACTGTCTCGGAACCAAATCAGACTGGCAAATTTGTAGAACTTGAGTTCAATGACCTCGTTTTGAAGATGACGGCGAAACGACAAGCTTGATTAATCTATTTTTGCACGACAAGCAAGAATGGCACTACAATATGATCATTACTGATATGAGGCTGTGAAAGATTTCTGGTGAAACGCTACATTAGGGATCGACAACTTACCTGATTACTATGTACAATGCTTGCATGGGAGCTCTAATAAGTTTGTTAATTATTTTTTGATCTGCTCAAGATTATTTGAATGTTCCAAAAATACTGTCTTTGTTTATCGGCGAATACAGGAAAATTTTCATTTTTCTGAAACGGGGCAATCCCGTCATTTTGTCTGAGAATATTTGTTTAATCAGACAACTAATCGAGATAATTTCTCCAAAATTTGCAGTCTGCTAAGTCAGTGCAGTCTGCAAGTCTGATTGTGAGTCAAAACTGTCCTCAAATTTTACTGTGCACGATGGACAGCTTTTCAATGGACCACTAGACAAGGTACGAATTTAGGCGATCTGATACATGTTTCTTAACCAGAATTTCACGTAGAAAACGATCCACACAACAAAAATCACTGAAACCAACTCCTAATGAAGATATTAACGTTTTTATTTCACATTGGTTACAAGGAATTTGAACTGCCCGCTCACAAGAAACTCAAAGCTCTACGTGAGTCAAATCGCCCACTACAACGGTTTCAGCAAGCTTCTCAATCGAGCAATGCTCATTTCCCACCATGTGTTGTTCAAACTATTAGCAATTTGCTATAACTGAGCCAAAGCGTCAAGATGGAGGTTGCCAGATTTTTATATCGCAGAGACTGTCATGATAAACGTTTAGCGCGCGATATGAATCACGTAGAGCATTGAGTCTTCATGAGCGGGTGGTTTGAATTGACGCATCAAGAATCATTAAATATCTTCGTCAGGAGTTAATTTCGTTAATTTTCGTCGTGTGCATCGTGTTTTACGTCAAATTTCGGTTAAGAAACATGTATCAGAATGCTGAAATTCGTACCTTATCTAGTGGTCCATTCATTTGTTTTTCAGTTCCGTGAAATATGTAAATTTTCAGTTCAAGCTGCCGCCTTGCCCCGCTGTATAAAGGGTGACGTCACCATATTGAACAATAAATAGCCTCGTCACTTCTGAGGCCGACGATGCGTGAGTATGCTCGATGCTCGAAAGAAAAGCGTTGGGCTGAGGTTGGCGTCAAAATATTTTGATTTGAAAACGCTGCGGAGTTTACTGTTTTAGCGCGGTGAATTTTGCATAACTCATGGAGCAGCCGNGGGGGGGGGGGGGGGGGGGGGCAGGAGCGATGCTCTCAACTTCTTTGTGACAAGGCCGTGCTGAAGAAAACAAAGAACGGAAAAATAATGAGATCAGAACTTTAAGATCTCTGCTCCGTGAAGTTTTATATAGTTTTTGTAATAGTTTCACATTAGTCTATAAAACACTTAAAATTTATGAATTTGGAATCCCTTGATACATTTTTGCGTGGAACCGCCATCCTGAGCTTCGACGAGTTTTTATAACCTTCTTTTGGGGAATCTCAGCGAAAAACTTTTGTGAATTTTCATTTGTGCATGCTGCGGCGGCAATTTTTTGCGTTTCTAACAAATAAAAATGATTGAAAAACAATCAACAATACTTCGATGCTTTATTTTCGTGAACATTTTTTTTAACGTAAATTTCACCTTATTTTCAATGAGAAGAGATAAAAAAGATTACGCGAATTCGTACATTTTAACTGTAGGTAAAGTTTTTTCTCCTAGCCCAGATTTAGCAGTCAATGCTACTAATAAGATCTGAAAAAAATTGATCTTAGGTTGCAGCTTTTTTCATTATTTTTAAACACTTGTCGTGATTGCCAAGTTTCGGAAAGTCGCTTAAAATGATTGCCTAGAAAAAGAGCGTAAATGTTCCAAATGAAATCTACGTGTGTGGCTGATCATAAGAAGGTATAGAAAGATCAGGTCGTCATGTTGTTGATAGAATACTAATGAAAAATATTTATTCGCGACTACAGATTTCTTTTTTGAGATTGAACTATCACCCAAATTGTGAAACGTTGTAGATCTCAACTGTAGTTTTAATTAGACGTATCGCTTACTTTCATAGTTATGCCTGTACAGTGTACACATAACCTCAACAGACATGAACTCATAAATGACTTACCTGCAATTTTGTTTCAAGATTCGAGTTTGCAGAATTGCCTAATCCTCCAATTGAAGGCGCACCAGGTTTCTTTGGATACTCGTGAAATCTCAATCTAAGGGTTCGAACTGCCAGTCTGAATCCTGGATCATGCTTTATAGATTAGAGGTCATAGCGTTGGAGGGGTTTAATATTAAATGAAATAATTTATTTTTCTACAAAAAAAAAATAATTTTTATTTTTAGTTTCAAAAAGTCAATTTGCCAAGAATCAGGAGCTGATTTCAAGAATATTCACGCGCTGATTCAACGTTTGATCTCCTTTTTTCTAGATCAATTTTAATCTCAGCCGGAAAAAAACTAAACTTCCCTCAAAACTGCGGTTCCACTTGGAAAAATTGGTGATTGATAGAGAAAAATTAAGGCCACTTGCGGATTTAACAGCCAAAAGTACATGAGGAAACTCAGATGACAACGAGGTAATAATTCCGTCAATTCGTGTCAGCAAGAAAGTAAAAAAAATCAAATTATTTTGTGTCTGAAATAGCGGGAAAATATTATTTTCAGATGTCTTTTTCATCTAATTTTTGCAGATTTAAAAATGGTGTACTGATCAATGAATCAGTTTTTAAGTATCATCAACTTCCTTTTTTCAATCAATCTGTTCATTTATAAGAAATGTCAATAATTTTTCCTTAGCATTTAACTAGTGAGGAGATATTCTGAAGATATATATTAGTATCACTAACGAGTTACAAAATAGGTCATAACATAACAGGCTAAAGAATTATTATTCCATTGGGAAAATGTCATAAAAGTAAATTATACGAGAAAGATCCCCCTTTTATCGGGCCTAGTTTCATAATTTCACCATAAGTTAAAATTCTGACGATCGAGAATATTATGGATTCGTAAAAAAGTGCAGAATTATCTATACGGCTCAACAATTAAGTAGGAGTTCAAGGTACGGATAAATTTTCGCAAGAAAATAGCCCAATCCCAATATCTTTCGCAAATTAAGCACCTGTCAACAGAATTAAAATAAACAATCCACGATTTTTGGTTGACACTGTTACTGTCTGGCGGACTTTCCGTCCCTTGAAAATATATATATTTAAACAAAAAAAAAATGTAACATTTTTTTAAAATTGCCTCAGTTTTCCAAATAAAATGTTTTTTTAAAAAAAATGTCTTCTCATGTTTAAAAAAAATCCTGTTTTTTCAATGAGAATCCTCAGTTTAATTTGGTTTGCGATTTTTTTTCTTCCTCGGTTGTTTTAGGTACCTACTCAGAATTTATAGTATAGAATTTAGGAAATTAAAGTTTCATTATATCTGTTTGACCATATTTTTCAGTAAAAACTGATTACTAAAATTTTAAGTCACAATTTTCAGCTAGTAGGTGAGTCTCCTGCAGCTCTTGAGAAAACGGTTACTGAGTCTGTGAGGTATTATGATGTGCCTACAGCCTACACTATCTGACCTTCTTGCCACTGAGAATGAATAGAAACGAACCTTTGACCGAGCTTATAAGTAGACTTTTGAAAGAGAGTTGTACCTGTAGATAGGCAAATCATCTTGGGGGAAAAACTTTTCCCTTTGCTCTGTTTTTTCTCTCTTTCCCACCAGTCTGAATCAGATTGAGTTTAGCTGGAACGCACCAAGTCCCAATTTTGAAAATTATTGAGTTACGAGTAATTTTAATTTTAACTAGTCGAAAATGTGCACCCTTCAAAAATTTAAAGGAAAGGAAAAATATTCTGAACATGTAAATAGATGTTGAACTTAGTCTTTGTATGGATGAATAGAACTTCAAACCTCCTTTTTCACTCCAAATCTGATGCAACTTGGTGCATTACCGATGAACTAGGTCCAATTTAAAACTGCTTCTTCACTGAATGAACTAAGATTCCAAGCGAATTAGGGTAGGTGGGGGTAAAAGGCCGCACCCGATTTTTGTCCCAAAAATTTTTTAGGTTGGCACCGGCACCGGGTCAGTAGTGGTGTTTTTGTGTTGACGAAGTTTCAGATCGAACGGACGCGTTCCCTCGTAAATATGAGAATTAATTTTTCGTGAAAAAAAAAATCGATTTTTCCAGTTTTATTTTGGTCAATTTCAAATTCTGTAGTTGATATAAAAATTCGGAAGAGCTGCAATGAGAACAATGATAAGGATGGTTTGAAAATCCCGCAGTCACTTTTGGGCTAATGGCCTTGGCTTTGAATTTTGAAGTTCATCAAATGGTCAAGGTCAAGGTCATCAAATGGCGTAAAAAGCCGCAGGTCCGACGGGGCAAAAGGTTGCATGCAGCCTTCACTAAAATACCACTAATACTTAGTCTATTAACTAATTAATACTACCAATACTAAATCTTTTACTACATTTTTACTAAATATTATTAACAATTACCAAAGATCCTAAAATGTAGGGTAGGTGGGGGTAAAAGGCCACACTTTTCCGTTGCGGTCGTTTGTCAGCCGCCGTATCAAAAGCGGAAATGTGGTAAAATATCAACTATGGACCCCTACGCGCACGAAACGGCACACTTTCCAGAATTTTGAAAGCATTTCCGAAATTTTTACGAATTTTCCGGAAGTGCGGCCTTTTGCCCCCACCTGGGGGAGAGTGGGGTTATTTGGGTCGTCGGTTTCAATGGGTCACATGGGATATTTTCCCGCCTAATAGGGATTTTTCGGTTTTGCCGGCGTAGGAAGTTGGCAACACTTGTATTCTACCAAAAAAATGTGCAGTGACGTCATCGGCATCCTTTTTTATTGTTTTGGAGCCACATTAGACGCGGACCCGTCGAAATCGGCTAAAAACGGCGATTTTTCTTCCGAGAAGTTTGTGCACCTTGGTAAGTATGGATCTGGATCCTTGGATCTTTATGCTGTAAGTTGTTCTGAAAAGTGGACTTGTTTTCCTACATTTTGGCTATTTGAAATGTAGAAAGAAATAATTTTGAAATTTCCTTAGCATGATTTGAAAATCCTAACCTGCTTAGCGGCTAAATGGGCCTTTTTTGGGGGTTAAATGAGTCACTCACCAAGTTACGATTTTAACTGATTTTCTGAATTTTATTTCTTTTCTGCGGAGATCATGACCAGAAAATTCACCAGGAAGAGGGAAGAACATAGGATTCCTCCAACGCGGATCCTATAACGCCGTGCTGGTCTCTTTTGATTTTAATTTCTTTTTTATTTTTGTACTTTTTTAGCGGTTGATAATGGTGTTGTGAGACACCGAAACGTCCTGTGTATAGGTATTAATGTATTTTAGACTTGCTTCCACTGTTTCCTTCTTTTAATTTTTAAGTTTTGACCACAAGTAAAAATGTTCTATACAAAAATATGTTTTGCGCCAAAGCTTTAATTTATATACCTATTTAGCATGTTACCTATGAAAATAAATTGGTGCGCATGTAGATTATCTAATTTTTCTTTATAAGGTTACTCATGTTCCTGTGGTTCTACATTAACTTGTGTTCATTAAAATTTATTTCTTTAATTTTCGTTCTTATTTTTTAGCGAAGACAACAGCCTCTTAAAATATTTATTTTGGTGGTCATGAAATGGAAGGTTGAAAAAAAAAAATAATATCTTCTAGAAAATATTCAAAAATTCCCAAAGTTATTATTTAAGCCTCTAAAAGAAATTTCATAACTTTTACCATAACAGAGGGTTCTTATTGACTTGTTATTCTGAATTTCTAAATATTCTTAAGCTCACCTTTTTTTCAACACTCCTCTCATACCAACCAAAAGTTATCATTGTCCATTTATCTATTTATTCATCCATTCACTTACTTACCTACAGGTGACCTCATTCATTAAACAAATTGGTATCTACCAAAAAAGAAAACAAAATAAATTGTTCATCGAGTCATTGCAAACCATACATTGAAGGATAAAAAGAGGAGCCCCCCTTCAATATTTCTCATTTATTTACTTTTTTTCTGGTGCAGCATTGATAAATTTAAAGATACGTATATCTCATAGAGGTTTGACAAATATCTATTTCAAGTTGATTAATATGTGTCCAGAATGATTTACCGTAGGTGACTCAGTTAACCCCAGGGGTGACTCATTAAACCCCATGGTCGCGGTTAAGTGGGTCAAAAAGGTTACTCTGCTCAAATGAAGATTTTGACTTAACTTTATGCATAAAAAATTTGCTCCGGCATAAATTTAATAGCTGAGAGTATGCTTGATCGTAATAGATCATAAAATCAGACAAAAAAAATGTTTAAATAACATTTAGGAGCGTTTTCCTAAAACTGACTCAAATAACCCGACTCTCCTTTATCCTATACTTGGAAGAATCGAAGCACACTCTTCTGAATTTTTGGCTCAATTTGGCACTGTTTGTGAGCTATAGGATAGATGAAGAAATTATAAGATAAAACAATAGAAACTAGAACAATTAGAGCGTGAAATCCACTTCAAATTATGCATTCACTCTTGCTTTGCTGTCTACTGCTCATCCTTCACATGGACAACGAGCAGACCAGCAGCTTGCTTTTGATGAAAAGGGGTACGTGCAAAACGGGTCATTTCACGCTCGGGTCGGACACCATTGAAACTTGCCCTATTCATTCATCTAACAATGTCCCATGTTTTCCCAAAGTTTCAAGTCCCCAAAAAATTTTGGGTAGAAGTGGGGGGGGGGTCAAAGTTGAAAATACGCGAAATTTTCGCAAATTGTTTACTCGAAAACTACTAAATATTTCGAAACGCGGTTTAAACGAGCGTTTTCAGCGTGAAAAGAGCGAGTTATCGCCTCCGAAGCGCCGGAACGCTAAAAAATGACCCGCTTTTTTTCACGTTCGGGCCGGTCCCCAAAATGGCCCATTTTTACTTTATTTGAAAAACTGATATGTTGTTCCTGACTCTCTATGGCACCCATATGTCTTAAGCGTATCCTGGGGAAATGTTTTGTTCGCGAGTTATAAGCGCGAAAAGGAGCGAAAGACGGGAAAATCGGCTATTTTGAACTGCGCGCGTCGCATGGGTTAGAAGGAGAACGCCCTCTCCTGCTCAGTTCGGCGAATCACACTCCTCTGCCGACCTCGCATTGTTGCCACATGTCTCCTGATGCGTCGCCGCGCGCAGTTTAAAATAGCCGATTTTCCCGACCTTCGCTCCTTTCCGCGCTTATAACTCG